CCCAGCGCGTTGCGGTGTTTCGGGGTGTTTTAGAGTGTTTTGGGGTGCTTTAGGGGTGTTTTAGGGGTGGTTTTGGGGTGTTTTAGGGATGTTTTGGGGTGGTTTTGGAGTATTTTGGGGTGTTTCGGGGTGGTTTTGGGGTGTTTTGGGTGTTTTAGGGGTGCTTTTGGGGTGTTTCGGGGTGTTTGGGGTACCTGCAGCACCAGCCCCAGCGCGTTGCGGTGTTTCGGGGTGCAGACCACCACCACCCGGCCCGGTGCCAGCACCCGCTGCCCCCCGGGCTGTGCCAGGCACCGCTGCGGACCCCAGACCCCGTCAGGGGGGCACTGGGACTCCCCCAGGACCCCCCTGAACCCCCCCTGTGCCCAGGGACCCCCACAGGGACACCCAGAGACCCCTGCACGGTGACTTCCCCACGGTCCCCAGGACCCCTCAGGTGTCCCCTGGCCCCCCCAGCCCCGTCCCCCCCAGCCCCACCTGCAGCACGGCGCGGGCGCGGCGCAGTGCCACCACGGCCTGGTGGTACTGGGGCAGGTCCTCGGTGTCCCCTGCTGTCCCCTCGGGGTCCCCCAGCGCCGCCAGCGCCTCCCTGAGGGCGGCCACGCGCCGCATCTGCGCCTGGGGGGGCACGGGGGGCGCGGGGGGCTTACTGGGCGGGGGGCCGGTGCGCCCAGTGCTTACTGGGGCAGTCCCAGTGTCCGTACTGGGGCAATCCCAGTATCTGTACCAGGGTGTGCTCCCAGTTCGCCCCAGCCCATCCCAATGCCCCCCAGTCCATCCCAGTGCCCCCCAATCCCAGCACCCCCCAGTCCATCCCAGTGCCTCCCGGTGCCCCCCGGCCCCCCGGCAGCGCTCACGGTGGCGTCGCGGCGCAGCGGGAACTCGGCGAAGCTGCGGCGCATCAGGTCGTGGGGGCGCAGGGCGGGGGCGCGCAGCAGCAGCAGGATCATGGGGTACGTCAGGCGGAACCGCGACTGCAGCGGCGACGGCCGGCCCTGGGGACACGCGGGGGACACGCGGGTGAGGACATGGTGGGGACACGGTGTGGGGAAAATGGTGAGGGACACTTGTCGCTGCCCACATGGTGGCCATTACATTTTCTGCCCTTTTTCCCCTCACAGCTCCTGCCATTTTCCCCTCACGTTTCCCGTTCTTTTTCTCCTTATGTTCCCCCCTCACATTTCCTGCCATTTTCCCCTCACGTTTCCCACCATTTTCCCCTCACATTTCCTGCTGTTTTCCCCTCACATTTCCCGCTGTTTTCCCTTCACTTTTCTTGCCATTTTCCTCTCACGTTTCCGGCCATTTTCCCCTCACGTTTCCCACCATTTTCCCCTCACATTTCTCGCCATTTTCCCCTCACGTGTCCCGCCATTTTTCCCTTCACGTTTCCCGCTCTTTTTCTCCTCACATTTCCTGCAATTTTCCCCCTCACATTTCTCACCATTTCCCCCTCATGTTTCTCGCCATTTCCCCCTCACATTTCTCACCATTTTCCCCTCACATTTCCCACCATTTTCCCCTCACGTTTCCCGCCATTTTCCCCTCACATTTCCCACCATTTTCCCCTCACATTTCCCACCATTTTCCCCTCACGTTTCCCGCCATTTTCCCCTCACATTTCCCGCCATTTTCCTCTCACATTTCTCGCCATTTTCCCCTCATGTTTCTCACCATTTTCCCCTCACGTTTTCCACCATTTTCCCCTCATGTTTCTCACCATTTTCCCTTCACGTTTCCTGTCATTTTCCCCTCACATTTCTCGCCATTTTCCCCTCATGTTTCCCACCATTTTTCCCTTCATGTTTCCCACTGTTTTTCCCCTCACATTTCCCGCTATTTTTCCCCTCACATTTCTCATTTTCCCCTCATGTTTCCTGCCATTTTCCCCTCATGTTTCTCGCCATTTTCCCCTCACAGTTCTCGCTATTTTCCCCTCACATTTCCCGCCATTTTCCCCTTACGTTTCTCGCCATTTTCCCCTCACGCTTCTCACCATTTTCCCTTCACGTTTCTCATCATTTTCCCCTCACATTTCCCACCATTTTCCCATCACGTTTCTTGCCACTTTCCCCACGTAAGGACACCTGGGTAGGGACACACAGGTGGGGACACAGCAGTGACATGGCGATGACACGCCAAGGGCTCACCAGCATCATGCGGTGCAGGTCGGACAGCTCGGGCACCGGTCCCTTGCAGAGGATGATGACGGTGCCGGTGGCGTCCAGCCCGCGGCGCCCGGCGCGCCCCGACATCTGCGTGTACTCGCCTGGGGGGACACAAAGGCACGGTGAGACACGGCCCTGTCCAGCTGCAAGGCATTTTTCTTGGTTTTTTTCTCATGAACACTACTGGTTTTACCCTCACAATTTTTGCCTTTTTCCCCTCAGAGCTCCCACCATTTTTCCCTTAGCATTCCTAGCTCTTTTTCTTCACACATTTCCCACTACTTTTCCCCTCGAATTTCTCACCAGTTTCCCCTCACATTTCTAACCATTTTCACCTCACGTTTCTTGCCCTTTTCCCCTCACATTTCTCACTGCTTTCCCCTAGTGTTTCTCACCCTTTTGCCCTGACGTTTCCCACCGTTTTCCCCTCATGTTTCCCACCATTTTTCTCCTCACATTTCCCACTGTTTTCCCCTCGTTTCCCACCATTTTTCTCCTCACATTTCCCACCATTTTTCCCCTCACATTTCTCACCATTTTCCCCTCACGTTTCCCATCATTTTTCCCCTCACGTTTCCCTCCCTTTCCCCCTCACGTTTCCCACTTATTTCCCCTCATGTTTCCCACTATTTTTCCCCTCTTTTTTCCCCTCACATTTCCCACTATTTTTCTCCTCACATTTCCCACTATTTTCCCCCTCACATTTCCCACTATTTTCCCCTCACATTTCCCACTATTTTTCCCCTCACATTTCCCATCCTTTTTCCCCTCACATTTCCCACACTTTTTCCCCTCACATTTCCCATCCTTTTTCCCCTCACATTTCCCACACTTTTTCCCCTCACATTTCCCGCCCTTTCCAATCCTCACATTCCCCACCACAATTACAACTCCATTTCCCTCCTTATCCCTCAGTTTCTCCTCCCATATTTCCGCCTTCTCTCAACTCCATTTCCCCTGTTTTTTCTCTCAGCTTTCGCCCCCTTTTTCCTTCACGTTTTTCACCCCTTTTCCACCCTGTTGGTGCACAAATGTGGCCCCACACCTGGCAGGAGGTCACGGAAGCTGTTCCCGTCGTGTTTGCGGATGGAGTCGAAGACGACGGTCCGTGCCGGCATGTTCACCCCCATGGCAAAGGTCTCGGTGGCGAACAGCACCTGGGGCAGGTGTGGGCAGGTATGGGGCAGGTTTGGGGCAGGTATGGGGCAGGTATGGGGCAGGTTTGGGACAGCTTTGGGACAGGTTTAGGGCTTCTCGCCATTTTCCCCTCACGCTTCTCACCATTTTCCCTTCACGTTTCTCATCATTTTCCCCTCACATTTCCCACCATTTTCCCATCACGTTTCTTGCCACTTTCCCCACGTAAGGACACCTGGGTAGGGACACACAGGTGGGGACACAGCAGTGACATGGCGATGACACGCCAAGGGCTCACCAGCATCATGCGGTGCAGGTCGGACAGCTCGGGCACCGGTCCCTTGCAGAGGATGATGACGGTGCCGGTGGCGTCCAGCCCGCGGCGCCCGGGGCGCCCCGACATCTGCGTGTACTCGCCTGGGGGGACACAAAGGCACGGTGAGACACGGCCCTGTCCAGCTGCAAGGCATTTTTCTTGTTTTTTTTCTCATGAACACTACTGGTTTTACCCTCACAATTTTTGCCTTTTTCCCCTCAGAGCTCCCACCATTTTTCCCTTAGCATTCCTAGCTCTTTTTCTTCACACATTTCCCACTACTTTTCCCCTCGAATTTCTCACCAGTTTCCCCTCACATTTCTAACCATTTTCACCTCACGTTTCTTGCCCTTTTCCCCTCACATTTCTCACTGCTTTCCCCTAGTGTTTCTCACCCTTTTGCCCTGACGTTTCCCACCGTTTTCCCCTCATGTTTCCCACCATTTTTCTCCTCACATTTCCCACTGTTTTCCCCTCGTTTCCCACCATTTTTCTCCTCACATTTCCCACTATTTTCCCCCTCACATTTCCCACTATTTTCCCCTCACATTTCCCACTATTTTTCCCCTCACATTTCCCATCCTTTTTCCCCTCACATTTCCCACACTTTTTCCCCTCACATTTCCCATCCTTTTTCCCCTCACATTTCCCACACTTTTTCCCCTCACATTTCCCGCCCTTTCCAATCCTCACATTCCCCACCACAATTACAACTCCATTTCCCTCCTTATCCCTCAGTTTCTCCTCCCATATTTCCGCCTTCTCTCAACTCCATTTCCCCTGTTTTTTCTCTCAGCTTTCGCCCCCTTTTTCCTTCACGTTTTTCACCCCTTTTCCACCCTGTTGGTGCACAAATGTGGCCCCACACCTGGCAGGAGGTCACGGAAGCTGTTCCCGTCGTGTTTGCGGATGGAGTCGAAGACGACGGTCCGTGCCGGCATGTTCACCCCCATGGCAAAGGTCTCGGTGGCGAACAGCACCTGGGGCAGGTGTGGGCAGGTATGGGGCAGGTTTGGGGCAGGTATGGGGCAGGTATGGGGCAGGTTTGGGACAGCTTTGGGACAGGTTTAGGGCAGGTGAGGGGCAGGTTTGGGGCAGGTTTGGGGCAGGTATAGGGCAGGTGAGGGGCAGGTGAGGGGCAGGTTTGGGGCAGGTGTGGGGCAGGTATAGGGCAGGTGAGGGGCAGGTTTAGGGCAGGTTTAGGGCAGGTTTGGGGTAGACATGGGGCAGATTTTGGGCAGGTATGGAGCAGGTGTGGGGCAGCTTTGGGGCAAGTGTGGGGCAGCTTTGGGGCAGGTTTAGGGCAGGTGAGGGGCAGGTTTGGGGCAGGTGTGGGGCAGGTATAGGGCAGGTGAGGGGCAGGTTTAGGGCAGGTTTAGGGCAGGTTTAGGGCAGGTTTGGGGTAGACATGGGGCAGATTTTGGGCAGGTATGGAGCAGGTGTGGGGCAGCTTTGGGGCAAGTGTGGGGCAGCTTTGGGGCAGGTTTAGGGCAGGTGAGGGGCAGGTTTGGGGCAGGCATGGAGCAGCTGTGGAGCAGGTTTGGGGCAGGCATGGGGCAAATTTGGGGCAGGTGTGGGGCAGGTTTGGGGTAGATTTGAGGCAGGCATGGGGCAGATTTTGGGCAGGTATGGGGCAGGTTTAGGGCAGGCATGGGCAGGTATGGGGCAGGTTTGGACAGGTTTAGGGCAGGCATGGGGAGGGCATGGGGCAGATTTGGAGCAGATTTTGGGCAGCTTTGGGGCAAGTTTAGGGCAGGTTTGGGGCAGATTTTGGGCAGCTTTGGGGCAGCTTTGGGGCCGGGGGTGCCTTTAGGGCAGGCATGGGGAGGGCATGGGGCAGATTTGGAGCAGATTTTGGGCAGCTTTGGGGCAAGTTTAGGGCAGGTTTGGGGCAGATTTTGGGCAGCTTTGGGGCCGGGGGTGCTGCCATGGGGCAGCACCCCGTGTCCCACGCGTGGCTCTCCCCACACACCTTGACCAGCCCTTGGCTGAAGAGCATCTCCACGATCTCCTTGAGCAGGGGCAGCACCCCGCCGTGGTGCACGCCGATGCCGCGCTGCAGCAGGTCTGAGAGCTGCAGCACCTGCGCAAGAGGCAACGTGAGGGGACACCGAGTGGGGAAGGTGGAGGGAACGTGGAGAGAACATGGAGAGAACAGGGAGAGAACATGGAGGGAACATGGAGGAGGAACATGGAGAGAATGTGGAGAGAACGGGGACGAGGAACATGGAGAGAATGTGGAGAGAACGGGGACGAGGAACATGGAGAGAATGTGGAGAGAACGGGGACGAGGAACATGGAGAGAATGTGGAGAGAACGGGGACGAGGAACATGGAGAGAATGTGGAGAGAACGGGGACGAGGAACATGGAGAGAATGTGGAGAGAACGGGGACGAGGAACATGGAGAGAATGTGGAGAGAACGGGGACGAGGAACATGGAGAGAATGTGGAGAGAACGGGGACGAGGAACATGGAGAGAATGTGGAGAGAACGGGGACGAGGAACATGGAGAGAATGTGGAGAGAACGGGGACGAGGAACATGGAGAGAATGTGGAGAGAACGGGGACGAGGAACATGGAGAGAATGTGGAGAGAACGGGGACGAGGAACATGGAGAGAATGTGGAGAGAACGGGGACGAGGAACATGGAGAGAATGTGGAGAGAACGGGGACGAGGAACATGGAGAGAATGTGGAGAGAACGGGGACGAGGAACATGGAGAGAATGTGGAGAGAACGGGGACGAGGAACATGGAGAGAATGTGGAGAGAACGGGGACGAGGAACATGGAGAGAATGTGGAGAGAACGGGGACGAGGAACATGGAGAGAATGTGGAGAGAACGGGGACGAGGAACATGGAGAGAATGTGGAGAGAACGGGGACGAGGAACATGGAGAGAATGTGGAGAGAACGGGGACGAGGAACATGGAGAGAATGTGGAGAGAACGGGGACGAGGAACATGGAGAGAATGTGGAGAGAACGGGGACGAGGAACATGGAGAGAATGTGGAGAGAACGGGGACGAGGAACATGGAGAGAATGTGGAGAGAACGGGGACGAGGAACATGGAGAGAATGTGGAGAGAACGGGGACGAGGAACATGGAGAGAATGTGGAGAGAACGGGGACGAGGAACATGGAGAGAATGTGGAGAGAACGGGGACGAGGAACATGGAGAGAATGTGGAGAGAACGGGGACGAGGAACATGGAGAGAATGTGGAGAGAACGGGGACGAGGAACATGGAGAGAATGTGGAGAGAACGGGGACGAGGAACATGGAGAGAATGTGGAGAGAACGGGGACGAGGAACATGGAGAGAATGTGGAGAGAACGGGGACGAGGAACATGGAGAGAATGTGGAGAGAACGGGGACGAGGAACATGGAGAGAATGTGGAGAGAACGGGGACGAGGAACATGGAGAGAATGTGGAGAGAACGGGGACGAGGAACATGGAGAGAATGTGGAGAGAACATAGAGGAGGAACATGGAGAGAATGTGCAGAGAACATGGAGGAGGAACATGGAGAGAATGTGGAGAGAACGTGGACGAGGAACATGGAGAGAATGTGGAGAGAACGTGGAGAGAATGTGGAGAGAATATGGAGGGAGAACGTGGACGAGGAACATGGAGAGAATGTGGAGAGAACGTGGAGAGAATGTGGAGAGAATATGGAGGGAAGAGGGAGAGAACATGGAGAGAAGATGGAGGGGAACATGGAGAGAACATGGAGGGAACGTGGAGGGAACGTGGAGGGAACACGGCGGGGGAACACGGAGAGAACATGGAGAGAACATGGAGGGAAGAGGGAGAGAACGCGGAGGGGATACAGAGTGGGGAAGAGGGAGAGAACGTGGAAAAGAACATGGAGGGAACGTGGAAGGAACATGGAGAGAATGTGGAGAGAACGTGGAGAGAATGTGGAGAGAACATGGAGAGAATGTGGAGAGAACACGGAGAGAACATGGAGGGAAGAGGGAGAGAATATGGAGAGAACGTGGAGGGAAGAGGGAGAGAACGTGGAGGGAAAATGGACAGGAACATGGAGAGAACATGGAGATACGGTGGGAGAATACAGAGAGAACACGGAGAGAACGTGGAGGGAACGTGGAGGGAACGTGGAGGGAACACGGCGGAGGAACACGGAGAGAACATGGAGAGAACATGGAGGGAAGAGGGAGAGAACACGGAGGGAAGATGGAGTGAACACGGAGAGAATGTGGAGGCAACATGAAGGGAAACACAGAGAGAATATGGAGAAGGAACATGGAGAGAACATGGAGGGGAACACGGAGAAGAACATGGAGAGAACGTGGAGGGGAACATGGAGGGGGAACATGGAGAGAACATGAAGAGAACATGGAAACACGTAGAGAACATGAAGGGGAACACAGAGAATATGGAGAAGGAACATGGAGAGAACATGGAGGGGAACACGGAGAGGAACATGGAGAGAACATGGAAAGAACATGGAGAGAACATGAAGGGGAACATGGAGAGGAACATGGAGAGAACGCAGAGGGAACATGGAGAGAACATGGAGGGGAACACGGAGAGGAACATGGAGAGAACGTGGAGGAAACACGGAGAGAACGCAGAGGGAACATGGAGAGAACGTGGAGAGAACATGGAGAGAACACAGAGAGAACATGGAGGGGAACATGGAGAGGAACATGGAGAGAACGCAGAGGGAACATGGAGAGAACATGGAGGGGAACACGGAGAGGAACATGGAGATACGGTGGGAGAATACAGAGAGAACACGGAGAGAACGTGGAGGGAACGTGGAGGGAACGTGGAGGGAACACGGCGGAGGAACACGGAGAGAACATGGAGAGAACATGGAGGGAAGAGGGAGAGAACACGGAGGGAAGATGGAGTGAACACGGAGAGAATGTGGAGGCAACATGAAGGGAAAAACAGAGAGAATATGGAGAAGGAACATGGAGAGAACATGGAAAGAACATGGAGAGAACATGGAGGGGAACACGGAGAAGAACATGGAGAGAACGTGGAGGGGAACATGGAGGGGGACATGGGGGAAACACGAAGAGAACATGGAAACATGTAGAGAACATGAAGGGGAAACACAGAGAATATGGAGAAGGAACATGGAGAGAACATGGAGGGGAACACGGAGAGGAACATGGAGAGAACATGGAAAGAACATGGAGAGAACATGAAGGGGAACATGGAGAGGAACATGGAGAGAACGCAGAGGGAACATGGAGAGAACATGGAGGGGAACACGGAGAGGAACATGGAGAGAACGTGGAGGAAACACGGAGAGAACGCAGAGGGAACATGGAGAGAACGTGGAGAGAACATGGAGAGAACACAGAGAGAACATGGAGGGGAACATGGAGAGGAACATGGAGAGAACGCAGAGGGAACATGGAGAGAACATGGAGGGGAACACGGAGAGGAACATGGAGAGAACGTGGAGGGGAACATGGAGAGGAACATGGAGAGAACGTGGAGGAAACATGGAGAGAACACAGAGGGAACATGGAGAGAACGTGGAGAGAACACAGAGGGAACATGGAGAGAACGTGGAGGGGAACACAGAAGGAACATGGAAAGAACGTGGAGGAAACACGGAGAGGAACATGGAGAGAACACGAAAAGAACACGGAAAGCACACAGAGCGAAGCTCCTCCACACCCCACAGCACCCCAACCCCACGCGCAGCCATCACCCTCCCACCCCCCAGGTCCCAGAAGCTCCTCTTCCCCCCGGAACGCCGCGGGCCCCCCACCTGCGGCAGGCGGCGGTCGGAGCCGCGCAGGCGGGCCAGGCAGCGCGTCAGGAACTGGCGCACCCGGGCGCGCTCGGGGCCGCCCAGCAGCTCCAGCGAGCCCAGCGCCGCCGCCTGCTCCTCGCAGCGGCCCCGCGAGAACGTGAAGGTGACGGCGGGCAGCAGCTCCCGCTCGCGGAGGGTCTCCAGCAGCGACAGCCAGACCCCCCGCTCCTGCACGGGGGGAAAGACGGGCTCAGCGGGACCCCCGGGGCGGCCCCCAGCCCCTGGTGGGGTCAGTGGGACCACCGGGACGGCCCCCAGCCCCCCCCCCAGGGTCAGTGGGACCCCCGGGGCGGCCCCCAGCCCCTCCGGACCTGCCCAGGGTCAGTGGGACCCCCGGGATGGCCCCCAGCCCCCGCCAAGGTCAGTGGGACCCCCGGGATGGCCCCCTGCCCCCCCCCCCAGGGTCAGTGGGACCCCCGGGACAGCCCCCAGCCCCCGGCGGGGGCCGGGGG